CATTTCTTACGGATCATTAATATTCTAAACAGAGTAAATCTGCTATCAGACAGTACATACTTAACTAAATTCAACCCATTTTAATATATATGATTTTACCACTGAATTTTTCTCCCATCCCATTCTAAAAGATTTTTTAAAAATGTTTTTATAATTTTGGTATATTTCAAAATAAATGCTGTGAATCTGCACCATGTAGATATTTCTATGAATTCAACCATAAGCATTCAGGGAAAAAAACAGGATTTCAATAGCACAGACACCATTTCACGAGATAAACATGCCTTCCCCAAGGAGCACTAAGCACAAGTAGGAAAAGGGAGCTGTCCAGTTACACATGCTTTTCTCCCTGTGTTCATATTGCCAAGCTTCGTTCTAGAATTTAAAGTATTTTTGTGCAACAAATCCCCTAATGCAAGCCAACCTCTTCATCTGGTGCTCAACTAAAGAAATTTATTTTTAAAGTTTCTGAAGGAAAAACTAGTTATTTTGCATTTCTGGGAGATGGAATGAATGTATAATATAATTCATGAGCATTTTTAAGGGATTTTTAGGGATTTTAACTAAAATCTACTTTGTCATGTGTGCCAACCTCACAACCTAACTCCATCTGAACATGCAATTCCAACATAAATGTACTCTATTTCATTATTTACAGCAAGAACATAACACACTTCAAGGACTTCTTTATAAAGGCTATATTCAGAAACATTCCTTAAACTTTCTACATCAACTCCATACCTTTCTTTTTAGTTACTCCTGAATCCCCCAATCTGTACTTTTTCTCTGGATTATTATTTAACCTGATCTAGCCCAACTTCTACGTTTTTCCTACTCATAGAATCAGAGTGAAAAGAAACTTAGAAATCAGTCTATTCCTCCCTCCAAGCTCACAGAGCTGCTGGCTGGAGACTCCAGTGAGTTCCATGTAACAATAAATTCCTTATCCTCTAACTAATATGAATTTCTACAGAAAGGTAATATTTAATTGTACAAAGAAGTTCAGAAAAGAAAAAAAGTTCAGAAAAGACATTTATAAAGCGCAAAACGCAGTGAAACAAAGCATCTCTGTCATTTAGAATCCTCGATACTAAGTTCTGAATACTAGTGAGTAGAAGAACAGTTTTGGTTTTTTTTTTTAAGATTTTTATTTATTTGACAGAGACACAGTGAGAGAGAGAACACAAGCAGGGGGAGTGGGAGAGGGAGAAGCAGGCTTCCTGCCGAGCTAGGGAGCCCGATGTGGGATCAATCCTAGGACCCTGGGACCATAACCCGAGCCGAAGGCAGACGCTTAACGACTGAGCCACCCAGGCGCCCCTAGAAGAACAGTTTTAGTATTTCTTGATCTCCAGAACATAAGGGAATCCCATAAAATTGGGCCTCTTCCTTACAAAATTTATTTTTGAATAATTAGTTTATAAATTTATTCTCTGATGTCTTACTTTTATAATCTTTATCCCTACTGTTTTACATATTAACTCTTTGAAATAAAAAAACCCCACAAAATAAAAAACACTATACAGGTTTGAAAATTATTTTTAACAAACTACAATAAATTTTTCAAGTTTGATTTCAAGCTTTCAACCTGGATTTTTAAAAATGGCAAAAGTAACAATTTTTCATTCTTAGAATGAGGTATAAACATTGAGGGGACCAATCTTGAGATAATTTGTCTAATATCAGCCTAAACTAAGTCACAGATGCAAAGTTTTCTGTGACATCAGGATATAATTCCCTAAAACCTACTTCTTCATAGTATACACTCTTTATTTTCTTTTAAAAGATTAGTGCAGAATGACATATGAATTTTACACTTAGATTTAAAGGAGGCCTTTCAGATCTTTGAATCAAAGTCATGAATCAAAGAATCATGATTTAATGACCTTAACTGAAGTACGAAAGTTCTTTATAAAATTCTTTAGCTTGCTTAATTAACGTGCCTATGTCTGAGCTGACCACTATACCTTCAGGGTAAGGCTGACCTTCAGGGGTCAAACCCAGGGGTTGTGTCATAACTTTTTTTTTTAAATCACAGAATCTAACGAAAGCTAAAAAGCCTCTTCTCAAAAAATCCCATATATGTACATACATACAAAATTTTATTTATTTTATTTTTTAAATATTTAAGTAATCTCTACACTCAATGTGGAACTCTGAACTGATGACCTTGAGATCAAGAGTCACACACTCTTCAGACTGAGCCAGCCAAGTGCACCACATACAAAATTTTATTTTATTTTTTTAAAGATTTTTTTTATTTATTTGTCAGAGAGAGAGAGAGAGCGCGCACAAGCGGGGAAGCTGCAGAGGGACAGGGAGAAGCAGGCTTCCCGCTGAGCAAGGAGCCGGATGTGGGACTCCATCCCAGGACCCTGGGATCATGACCTGAGCTGAAGGCAGACGCTTAACCGACTGAGCCACCCAGGCATCCCCCCACATACAAAATTTTACTACAATCTTGAAGGGAGGAGTCACCAGAGAATCTATCAATCCCCAGGAAATAATTGTTATCACTGATTACATAGGAAGAAAGCCTTAAAACTTAATGCTTTTGGTTTTCGTACAGATTCTGATCTGAACAAGAAAGGTACCAGAGAGGCATCTGGAGTCTGAAGACATTGGTCAAAGCTGTGATACCTTCTGTTCCCAAAGTACCATAACTGTCTCAAGGCCATTGTAGCCAGGTTCTGCCAATTGTCCATCCCTGGTCTGCAATCCCAAGACACAAGACCCTCTGCTATCTCTACCTCTAATCATCTAGATCCTGCAAGCTGCTCGGATGTACTGTTGTTGCTGACAAGTAGCCACCCAGACCACCCTTTAATACCTTCAGTGACACAACTCAGTGTTTCAAAAGGCAGGCCACTGCAGTTTTAGGCACCTTTCAAGAACTATAAAGTTCCTTTCTAATTTGACCAGGTTTGTAAACTTTAAGCGCTGCCCTACTCAATTTCTCCTTTTTTCACTTACCAATAGGTAACAAATTAGCTTACCATTCAAAGTATCTAATCCTAAAACCAGAAGCAAAAAATTATTTAGCTCTACATGCACCAGAGAAGTCAGAATAATGATGAAAAGCACTTTCTATTTGGAAGTCAAAATATAAGAGAGCAGTACTGGTTCAGTTCAAGAAAAATGCAAGGTTTCCACATACCCAGTTTATTGGGCTTCTTTTCACTGCATAAAAAATAAAAAATGTATCAACATTAAAAGATTCAGATTACAATCACTTAAAATTAACATCAGTTCTGTCTGCAAATAGTTTATTCTCTGTATTTCTATTTATGCCTGTGATTCTGTGTAATAAACAGTTCTAATCAATGCAATGTAAATATAGAAGTCATTACTTATTCATCAGATAAAGACTGGCTTTCAAGAAACTATTAAGTTGTCTCAGTCACCTTCAACAGATCCTTTTTCACAATAAGAAATATCTCTTATTGAAGCCAGTGTTATTAATAAGGGCCATTTATCATATATAAGCAATTTCTGATGCAAATCCTTGTTTCCTCTGAAAACAAAGGAAACATTAAAAATTGTTATTTTCTTCCTTAAATGATCCCACACTAATGCTGGACAAAAAAGATTCACAGATATTTTACAGTGATTGATGCAGTTATATCAGGTAAGAACAATGTTAACCAACAGTTAATTGGATTAACAATACAGCAAAATCTCATTTTCAAAGGACTACCCGGGGGGCTTGCCTTCCTGGGCCAAGTCTCAGAGAGCCCAACAATGCACAGCCCTAAGGAAGAGTCTACCTTGTAAGGGCCTTCTTTTTGGTCCTTCAATAATTAAACTTCCTGTAGCGATACAAAGATCCACCTAAATGAATTCTGCCTTATTTTGCAAATACCATTGGGGCACTAGTTCCATAGATTTGTATGTTAGGTATACAACAATCCCTTGGTTAAGAAACACATTTCCTGATAAACAAACACTTCTCTACTTTTCCAGACTGGCTTCAAGAATGAATGCTGTGTTTCAAAAAGACAGAAAAAAAAAAAAAAAAAAGGCAGTGCCACACATCACCTTACCAGAACTGCATGGCATAAAAAAGGCGTGTTAAGCTCAGGAAGACACACCTCTGAGCATTTCTGGGATAAAATCATCTACAGAATCATTTTAGTTGATTCTTAAAGTTGAAAATTATTTAATGCATCACAACCAAAATACGTACTGCAGAATTTTCTTACAGTCCATATTGTTGGATACCCTATTATTTAAAATTGAGTCAGTTTTAAATCAACGCAGTATATATTTGTACCCAAGCAAATATGATGAATCTCGATTTAGTTTAATTATGCCTGTTTTATAGCACAAAATTCTTTCATGAGCTTAATATACAACTGAACACTCGAAATAGCTCATTTAAAGCACAGACTACAGATAGTCAAACACTGCCCCACCCCTCGTTAAGAGTGGATGACTGGAACATTTTAATACACTCCATCACGTAGTAGCACAGCTAAAGAACCTTCATATTGGCGCCAGAAGTTGCATCTTTTCCGGTGCAATTTGTACTTTAAAAATTTTTTGCATCATCCTCAATACCAGATGTCACCAACATTCAGGTACACTGAAGATAAGTAACTGATAACCACAGCCCTGTAATTTCCCCCCTCTCCACATAAATGCGCACTTTTCTCATTTCTTCTTCAAGTCGCTGAATGTAAAGAAATAAGGCGTTCTCGCCAGTAACTACACAATTAAGTTTATTAATTGGGAGGCTGGAATCACATTAAGAAAACTTCAAACAGTAACAACGCAAAACAAGATACAAAGGTGAAAAAGTCTTTTTGCTTAAGTACTGAAAGATCTTACAATTTTGAAAAGTATTTGCGCGATGCCAAGCAAGATTTCCAAAACCCACCCCTCCCCCAGCCGCAAGCCGCCCTCGCCCCCCCCTCCCCCGGCCCGGCCCGGCCCTCAGCCGCCGCCTCAGTCTGGAGGTCGTTATCTAGGCGCGGCTGGAGGGCTGAGATGCTACTCACCAAGTTTTTCCACCAACTTGAGCATCACCCCTCCAATGTGCACCTCCCCGGTCACTCTTAGGGTGACATCGCGGTTCAGGTCCGTCACATGAACACTCAGTTCCCACGTCCCATCCGCGTAGCAGCCATCTGGCATCCTTATCCCGTCCAGAGCCATGGCTCCTTCCTGCGAGCACGGAGGAAATGGCTCTCGTAAGCGTCACTCCCCCAAAGGAAGGCAAATCCCACCGAATTCGCAGAGTCGACCGCGGAGCGGGAGAAGGTGGAGGACCCGAGGGTTTCCGCACGAACTCGGGAGAGCGGCGGCGGTGCGGGATTCTGCTCCCCGCGCCCTTCCCGGCGGCCGCCCAGCACTCCCCTGCCCGCGGCAGCCCTCGGCGGACACGGCGCCGCCCGTCCGCCCCGCGCGGCCCCGGCCCAGCGGCCCTCGCCTAGCGGACCGCGGCGGGCTTCACCTGCCCGCCTGCAGACCGCACCCCGGCCCGAGAAGACGCCGCCCGCGGGCTTCACATTCCTCGTCCCCGCCCGCGCTCCCCCTCAGGTCCCAGCCGGGATCCCGGCCCCTCACCGCAGGCTCCTTGCGCTCGCGGCCAGGGATCCGCGCCGCAACAGGCGCGGGCGCGGCGGCTCGTGGGGCGGCAGCGTCCGGTCCCCCTCCTCAGCCGGCGAAGCGCTGCCTCCCGGCTGGAGCGACTAATGGAGTCCTGTCGTCGCGGCCCCTCGCCTCCCTCCCAGCGCTCCACCCCTCTCTCCCCGCCCCCTCAGTCGGAGTCCGGCTCTGGCAGGGCGCGCCTGCTCCCTCCTCCTCCGCCCCGCCGAGCCGCTCGGAGCGGGTCGGGCCGCCTCACCCACGTCCCTCACCGTCCCCCCGCGGCCGTGCTGCGGGCTGGGGGCCGCGCGCACTCCCGGGCTGGGGGCGGGGCGGCGCGCGCCGCAGGGGTGGGAGCTGTGCTGGGGAGGCGGGGGGCGCCCGCGGCGCAGCAATCTCAGCCCCGCCGAGCCGCTGCCCTTTTATGGAAATGAAGGACCGGGCGTAGGGATTGAATCCAACATCCGGGCTCTCGGCGGCGGGACCTGAGGAGGGGGAGCGAGGGGAGCGCGGGCCGCCTCCCGCGGGGGCGTGGGTGGGCGGTGGGGCGCTGCGTTTCGCGCTCGGGTCTTCGACTTTGCCGGAGCGTGTCGCGGGTGCCTGTGCTTCCAGCGGGAGAAGGGGGCTTGTCCGTGAGAAACGGCTACAGGAAATTCCCAGGGCAAGGTCGTGTTCAGGGAACAAAGTCCCCCGCCCCCTCCCCACGCCTGGAGCCAGTCCAGAAGTCTCGGGGCGGGAAGAGGTGCCACACTCTGGGAGCTGGAGAGAGGGGTTTGGGACGAAAAAACTTTAGAAAGTAGATGCCCAGGGCAGCTCCATGAACATCCCACAAAAGAATGAAAAAACCCAGAGGGAGGCGAACCACAAAAATTGCTTTGTAAGCAATGTCCGGCACAACCAGCAACTCCTACTGGACTCCCAAGAGTTTGCTTGCGCTCTTAACCCGTTCGGAAGCTCCAACCAGAAGCAAGTCGAATACACCCTACGATGCTCTTGTTTGGAGGTGGGGGGGTGTGTGGAATGCAGTGCAATGAGTTTTACTCAGAAACTGTTTCTTCAGCCGCTCCAGTTCTTTGTGTATTTTTATATGCAACTTAGAACTAACAGTCTACTAAGGCTTTCAGATGGCTGAACATCTTCTACCCCACCCTCAGCCACACCTTGAAAGAATTTTAATAGCTCTGGAATGGTGCCAGCAGGTACCGAGAAGAACTAAAGAACTCTACCTGTTGAGACTGACTAGTGATAGAAAATGGTCCTCCTGCTTCCCACCTCATTTCCGCTTCACCCATTTATTGTTGCGCTCAATTCAGAAACAGCTAGCCAGGGAACCTGCCTCGCTGGCAAACACATGACTCAAAAAGTCTGGGTCAGAAAGACTCAGATATCTCAGGTCCCGTAAAAGACCCCAGTTTTTAAAGTCTCAGTGTTCTTGAACTGTGTCAATTACTTTGAAAAGGAACCTAACTGGGCAAATAAACCTTAGTTCATCAACGCAGTTGGGAAACGAGGTTAGAGGCCTCAAGAAAGGGGTGGGACCCGTAAAAGAGTGAAAGGAAAGCAGCGAAATTCAGATGCCAGAGGTCTGGCACAAAAAATAGGGAAAACCACTACAGTATTTTCAGCTAGTCATCATGGAGAAACTGATGCCTCAAGTCTGTCGTCTCTCCACTCTCCAATTATTTCTACTCATGGAGGTTCCAGATGGTTCTCTTGGAAGCAGTATGAATGTCCAGAGAGGAGGGAATATTTGTGTAAATTATGGTGCTGAAAATATATAGGAAAACGATCTTAATAAAATAGGGAATTGCTTGTTAGGGTAAAAAGCTGTTCAAAACTGTACATGTGGCTGTAACATCACAAGCTTATCTTCAAATATTCAGAGAAAAAAGACTGGAAGGAAATACACTAAAATGATAAGAAGCTGTCTTGGTGTTGAGATCATGGGAGATTTTTTCCTTCATTTTCTACAAACTCCAAAGCTTTGCATTCAGGACTTTTCTGTCACCACCTTAAATTTCATCCAGCATCTCAATTTCTCTATGCATGCCATCACATTCACAATGATGGACACAGCTGATGGAGAAGCTGCTGGACTCCGTGGCAGGATTTTCAGGGGTTTCCTTTTGTCAAAGTTTCTTAATATCCCCCAAATAAAACATGAGTTCTTTGAGAGCAGGGACTTAAATTCTTTGCACTGCCCACAAATTTACAAATAGCTTGAAACAAAGAAAATGAAAACATGCTGGTACCCAATCAATACAAATGTCAAAGAAACAGTAGGTCAGGGAGAAATCTCATTACTAGGGAAATCCTGGCTTTTAAAATTTTATGTGTTTGTTATTTCCACATCTTATCTCAAAAAGATTTGTGGCAATGTATAAGGATGCATAGGCTATGAGATAGCATACATTGTAAGTGGCACAAAATTAGGGGCAGGGGGAGGCGGGAAAGGGAAGGACAGAGATTTAAAATGAAGCCAGGAATGAGCATTGTACCTTAATGACCTTTGCAAGTGTTCCAGTAAGTCCTGAATAACTCCTGCTTCTCAAATATGCCTCTGGAGAACCAAAAATATCCATATCCTTTCTGAATATTCCCCTTCCTTCAGACAAATTTTTCGAAGCTAACTGTCATGTCTCAGAAACCCTTTTAACACTCAGTTTCCACATTCTAGTTCTTTTCTTACTTTCCAGTGAGTACTTTCTGAACAACCTCCCACCACAGTGCCTACTGCGCTGACTACTGCGCACTTCTTGAATGTTCCCTACATTTAGTGACAGAGGGGATGGTTAATATTGTAAATAACAGCCCCATTTCTCAACATTTGAAATAGCTTAGTTCTAGCATGACAAGAGACTTTCCTATCTTTAGAAAATCAGCAGTTTATGTTTGAGCAGTATAGTGCCCGGGAAGGCAGTGACCCTCTGTTAAGTACCATCGGAGGAATAATTAGATTAGGATGGGTGCAGCCGGTCCCTTCGGCCTTCTTTTTGAGTATTTCAAGCTGGCGCTTGTTTTGAAGATGAAAGGGGAGTCAGACTCCCAATTGCTGAAACTGGTTTTTTTTTTCCCCTGTTTATCAAGTGATTGGCTTTCAAGTGCATTTCTTAAATGTTTACTTCTACTTAATGTTTTTCAGTATATTCAGATGTGGAATCTTATCTGAAATCCCCCACTAGAACCTCCAAGACAATGCAATACTTGTGATACTGACATCATGCTGAAAAGTAGCTGAGAACTCCAGTGTTTGGAAGAACAGCCCAAGCACTGAAAGCAGCAATATCCAAATAAGGTACCAAGCACTGGTCTTAGATTTAGACCAAATGATACCTCACAGATGTGCCGTCAAATGCAGCCCTTGGGCTGGGTAATCCACAGGTTGAGTTCAGCTTTTTCTCTGAGCCTACCTAAACTGTGCTTTTATTTTTTATTTTTTTAGATTATTTATTTATTTATTTGAGAGAGAGAGCACATGAGAGGGGGGAGGGTCAGAGGGAGAAGCAGACTCCCCGCAGAGCAGGGAGCTTGATGCGGGACTCGATCTAGGGACTCCAGGATCATGACCTGAGCCGAAGGCAGTCGCTTAACCAACTGAGCCACCCAGACGCCCTAAACTGTGCTTTTATATTTCTAAAAGGTTAATACAAAATATACCCACTGGGTTTGAAAGAAAGAGATGTTGGGTGATAGGAAAAAATAAGGTTTGTGTGAGTGTGAATGTGTATGGGTGGCTAAAAATGCACTTAAAACCACCATATGAGGCCAGCAAGATGAAATGTAATGAATTATTCCTGTCAAATACCAGGTGAGCAGAATTCTTCATCCCAGGGATTGCCAAAAATGGAAGATACTGGTAAAGCTACTAAGGAGGTAGAAATCAAGGGGCATGGAGTGTGAAGAATGGGAAGGAAGGTTGCAAGGGCCACTGTTTTTATAAAAGTGGTAGTCACTGCGAACGGCAAGAAAAGGACTGGCAAACCTAGAAACAGGGCAGATTTGCCGGGGGTGGGGATGTTTCGACACAGACTCTGAGATAGCAATGAAATCTATTTCAAGGGGAAAGAAATGCGCTGCTTGTATTTGCCACGCCAGAGTATAGAAAATTTTTTGCAGGAAACCACGCTGGGGGATACTTTAAAAACTCTTTTCTTTGATTTAATTTTGAACATCATGTCATTTTGTGAGATAGTCTGTCCTTGACAAAAATTTGAAGGGTTCACACATAGGCTCACACAAACAAGGTAGCTAATTGTGTGCTTAGTACAGTGCAGGGCACAGAGACAGACACGTAGATGTATAACACGTCACAAGGTCTTAAAGGAACATCTATCTAATGTAGGAGGTTTATATTTAAAACATCATAAAGGATATCCACGTGCAAAAAGAATAAATTAGGCCCCTACCTTACACTGAATACAAAAATTAACTCAAAATGGATTACAGACCTAAATTTAAGATCTAAACTCTAAAATTCTCAGAAGAAAACATAGGAGTAAATCTTTGTAATCTTGGATTAGGCAATAGCTTCTTAGATAAGACATCAAAGCAAAAGCAACAAAAGAAAAACTAAATTCAATTTTATCAAAATAAAAAAATAACTAAATTTCAAAAGACAGCATGAAAAATGTGAAAAAATAACCCACAGAATGGGAAAAAAATTTGTAAATCGTATATCATTTAAGGGACTTATATCTAGAATATATAAAGCTATTATAAATCAACAATAAGACATAATTAAATGAGCAAATAATCTGAATAGGCAGTTCTCCAAAGAAGATATACAAATGGTCAATGAGCACATGATTTTTCCATCTTTTGCCTAGCATTAATATTTATGTACAAGTATTTAAAGAAATGATTCATTAAAAAAGCCAGAAGGGGGGCGCCTGGGTGGCTCAGTCGGTTAAGCGTCTGCCTTCGGCTCAGGTCATGATCTCAGGGTCCTGGGATCGAGCCCCACATCGGGCTCCCTGCTCTGCGGGAGGCCTGCTTCTCCCTCTCCCACTCCCCCTGCTTGTGTTCCCTCTCTCGCTGTGCCTCTCTCTGTCAAATAAATAAATAAAATCTTTAAAAAAAATAAAAATAAAAATAAAAAAGTCAGAAGGGAGAAAAACTATCACTGTAACATCTAAATCGTGAAGTACAAACCCGCTATGAGGACTATGATAACCTAACCTCCAAAAGAAGGTCATCAGGGAAGTCATAGAACGTCTTTATGAAGAAGCTAAATCTAACTGGGTCTGAAGAATGGAAGTTAGGCCTATCAAGAGGAGTAGTATGTGAAATCACGAGGCAGAAGTGAGCGTGGCATGCTCACCGCTATGGAGAAGAAAGGAAGAAACGCCCAGAAG